GTTTAGTCATCTAAACACCGCTTGACTATTTCAGCTTCTAAGGATGACCACAGCAATGCTGACTGCTTTGTTTGTGTGTTCCTGAGTCACGGTGAGAATGATCATGTTTACGCATATGATGGCCAAATTAAAATTGAGACAATCACAGACATGTTCAGAGGAGACCAGTGCCAGAGTCTGGTAGGAAAACCAAAGATATTTATTATTCAGGTAAGATGTCTGTTTCTGAATTCAGTGGAGTCAACACTGACCTATGTCTTCTTGTAATACAGAAGTCAGTTTTCTCCATACAGTCTTTCCGCAAGAGAAGGTTTTTGCATCTTTAGGAAAGAAGGTATGGAAAACTGTTCCTTAAAGGCAAGGATTCTTCTCTTTTTTTAAAAAAAAACACTTTATGTATATAGGTGTTGATATTATGATTCTAGCTGTATTTAATAAGCAATTTTATGAAGAGCAACCCAAATTAAGCCCATGTCGGATTGGCTGTCAGTGTATATTTAATGTATTTAATGGCAGAGAAGACAGTAACATTTTTTTGAGAAAGTTGTGTACAGCCTCAGTGCAGTTCCTACTGTTCACGCCTCTCAGCCCTAGACTAGGCTGTAGAAGGCTATCAAAGCTCCTTACCTTCACTGTTTTCTTCCAGGCAAGTCGCTTTACTTGATCCTTACGTAAGTTGTTTTTTGTAGGGTTTTTTTGGTGGGTTGGTTTTGGTGGTGGTGGTGATGTTTCTTCTGGTTTTCTTTTTTTCCATTTTGTTTTGTTTCTATTCTGTCCATAAGCAATACCTAGCATCTCTGTAGAATTTAAAGAATCAATTTAAGGTTTTATTGTCTCAGAAATACTGCTTGTGCTAAGTTGTCATATAAAGCCCATATGTAACTTCCTGTTTCACTCCCTGGTTCACAGGATAATGTGAGTTGGGAGGTCTCTAGTCCAGCCTCCTGTTCAAGACAGAGTCAGTTATGGGGTCAAACCAGGTTGCACAGGGCTTTATCCTATCTTTATCCAGATTAGAATTAGCAAACTCAAATGAGAACCTGGCCTTCAGCAGACTGTAATTGTAGTAGTTTGTAGAGTAATTCTAAGAGTTACCTTTTTTTTTTCCAAATGATGGCTTCCTTAAGCACAAGGCTGCTGCAAGAATCAGCACATTGTTAATTCATCTTTCATTAGGACTCATTCAGCTTTGATTTATTTCTTTTTAACCAGGTGCGAAAGATGGAAAAATATTTACATATTTAAATTTTAAGTTATAAGTAATACTTGGAAACATTTATAATACATACTCATCAAAAAGCTTAGGTCAGTTCATCAACTGAGTTCTTTTACAGCACAATTGGGATAACATTTACCTTTGGAAATCAGAGGAAACAGCAAGGATGGAACTTCATCACTGTAAATGAAAGAAGATTTTCATGTTTCTGTCTTTAGTGATAGTTCTTAAGTAATGTTCCTCACCTACTTTGGACCTTTTCAATGTGTTCTTACCTTCTTATCCTCCATGTATAGCCTTTCTGACAATACTGGGCTCACTTACTGGTTTCTCACAAAAAAAACCCCCTCCCTTAACTAACACATTTGAGACTGAACTAAGAGCAGAAGTGTAACAGCATATAATGATGGCTATGCTTCAGAGCGGTTATTCAATGCTGCCTTGCCAACAGGCCTGAGGGAGGTGATTCTTCCTCTCTGCTCAGTGAGGCTGCATCTGAAGTACTGTGTCCAGTTCTGAGTTCCTCAGTACAAGAAAGATATGGACTTACTGGAGTGAGTCCTGCAAAGGGCCACAAAGATGATTAAGGGACTGGAGCATCTCTCATCTGAGGAGAGGCTGAGAGAACTGGGACTGTTCAGCTTGGAGGAGACAGCTCAGGGGAATCTTATCAATGTTATAAACACCTGGTGGGAGGGAATAAAGAAGAGGGACCCAGGCTTTTTCTTCAAGTGGTGCCCAGTTACAGCACAAGAGGCAACTGGCACAAATTAAAACACATGAAATTCCATCTCAACACAGGAAAAAACATTTTTACTGTGAGAATGATCAAACACTGAAAAGTCACCCAGAGAGGTTATGGAGTCTCCACCTATGAAGATACTCAAAAGCTGACTGGACACAGTCCCGGACAACCTGCTCTAGCTAACCTTGCTTGAGCCAGGGGCGTTGGACTAGGTCATCTCAAGAGGTCCCTCCCAGTATCAGCAATTCCGTGATAATCTCAGAGCTTTCACAGGACTTCCGTCACCAATATTTTAATTGATAGAGAAGTACATGGGTCTTTATCAATCCAGACTCATGGTAATGTGGAACACCTAACTGAACAGAAGTCCCCTCTGGTCAGTGTCAGAAGTATCGTATTAACACAGGTGAGGTTGGCAGAGGTGAAAGCATAATAATACTTCTCACCAACAGGCATGTCGAGGCGATAAACATGATGATCCAGTTATTGCTCAGGATTCAATAGACAGTAGCGATGAATCTATCATCAATGAGACGGAAGTGGATGCAGCTGGTGTCTATACTCTGCCTGCTGGTGCAGACTTTCTCATGTGCTACTCTGTGGCGCAAGGTAAGTTCTAATATTTTACATCTGCTGTCTGATACCTCACTGTAACAAGCTTGAATGCTTCTTCATTTTGCAGTCAAAATAATGAGTACAGTTCCAGGTCGTCTGTTTTGCATGTCTGATAAGTGACATCTCATCTGCGAAAAATCCTCACGTGTTAGGGAAAAAGTGAAAATAAACCATCAAGGTTGCAGTTAATTTGCCAAGTAGAAACATTATCGTCATAATCTTGCTACTGAGCTGTCTGCTGACAGAAAGCATTCCCTTCTTTTCCAGGGTTGTAGGATTCTGGTGGCTTATAAATTTCCTTGCATTATGTGGCTGTCTTCCAGTCCTCCATCTATCTTGTCCTCAGTCCCATCTGCTCTCTTGTAACGTGCAGATACAGTCCTGTAAGCTACCAGTCCCTGAACCACGCTCCTCTTGGCTGAACACTATAAGTCATCTCAAAGCCACTTCCCATCTACAATTTCCAGTGAAATTACATAATTGGCAAAGTGAGATTTGCACCCATTAGCAATCTCTTACGGATACAGCTAGCAAGCAGTAACTCTCATGAATATTTTTCAAGTGGCATCACTACTTACATTTGGATATAATTTTATGTTCCTGTTCTACAATAGGGTACTTTTCTCATCGTGACACTTTAAACGGTTCCTGGTACATTCAAGACTTGTGTGAGGCACTTAGGAAGCACGGCTCTTCCTTGGAGTTCACGGAACTGCTTACCATCGTTAACAGGAAAGTATCTCATCGCAAAGTGGATAGGTGCAGAGATAGTAATGCTATAGGAAAAAAACAGATTCCCTGTTTTGCCTCTATGTTAACTAAAAAATTGTATTTTCATCCAAAATCTAAGTAGATTGTTATACTAATATTCACTGCTATGAAAAACACACCACTTTCTTTTAGGAGACTAATCTTCTACAAGATTGTTTGTTTGCAAAAACACTGGAATCAAACATTATAGTTTGTATATATAATGGTTCTAAAATCTTAAAGCAATTTTAAAGCTTGTATTACAGCTCTCTTCATCTAGGGGAAAAGTTGGCTGGTGCAAAACTATTGAGAGGTGCTCAGATTTTATTGAAATTGGTGCTCTAGATTACTTTTTTCTTAAAAGATTTTTGCTTGATTGCTGTCTACCTATGGCACACTTTACTATTTCCAGAACATTTTGAATGTTGCATTACATTAGCTTCTCCTGCTCCATGAGCACAGTTTCAGGGAATATGTTAGTAGGGCATCTTTTTAAATCTGTAGACAGCATTCCAATTTTTATGGATTTATAGCTTTTTAGACATTTTTTAATTTTCTCTCAACACTAAAAAGGAACTTAATTCCTTGAGTACAATTGTAGCATTAACATAGGTAAAGGGCTTCTTTTTGCTTGCGCATCATTTACGTTTGGGGCATAATTAAAGCTTGCTGGTGCTTTGCATCCTCAGGAGAAAAGCAGTAGTGAAATGAGACCACGTACAGCTTGTACACATCTCTAAAGCTAAAGCAAATCATTTCAAGGTTCCAGGCTCACTTACAACTGGTGGACATCTCTAGGCAGCTCTGCAGAATACAACATCTGCAAACCTTCATGCTTCAGGCCTTGCTGTTGGATAAGCCTCTTCCTCCCCTTGGCCTGGAGATCAGCCCTACACTGTCATGGTGTATATAAAAGTGATGGAGCGTTCATCACCACAGGATGTATCACTGTAGGATTGCTACTACTGCAGCATCAGAACTTTCAATACTTACTAGAAGCAAATATTTCTTTTATTATTTTTTACATTATCGGTACATATGCTTAACTCTGGGGGACAGTGGAGAACTCAAGCTGAGGAAAGTGTCTTAATCCACTTTCCTAGGTCTAAAAGAATTGATTTACTGGCTCCGGTTTAGTTAAATCTTTCCATATACAGTGTTCTGAGTCACAGATGTTAAATCTTACTATGGCTACTTTTAAGCTTTGTATAAATCATGAATGTATAAGGGTCAATGTTTTGATAATTTTTTTCAATAAAATGCAACACTGAAACATGAATGATTTTATAGTAAATGAGTTTGATATATCTTACTTTCCCAGCAATATTTACTAAAAAAGCAGACTGTAATGCAAGTCTAACCTCCAGCAATGGTGTTATATCAAAGCGCAGAGCTAAGGAAAAGAAAAAGGTAATTTCAGGGGGAAAAAAATCCTTAATACTTAATGCAGAAAATTATTCTATGAGCTACTGCTGTGCTATAGTAAATAGTCCTAAATGGACAGCCCTCTTTCCATGAAACATCCCTGTCATTTTACCAGCAAAGCAGAATGCCTCCATTTTACTGAGCTTTGACAAATATCTTGAAGAACTTTGCTTCAGCACCTTCCTTATAGTATTAAAAAAAACCCCCGAAAAACAGCACAAAACCAAACCCAAACTGTCAAGTGATCAAATAAGTTTTATAGATATTTATTGCAACTTTCAAAACTATAGTGGTCAAAAATATCCAGTTTCTATACAGTAACTAAATGTACGTATCAGCTTTGAAATGGCAATTCTAATGTATACAAAACCAAAGTCAGTCCTTGTCATGGATTTCCTGGATTGGCAGCCTCAGGTGCAGAGGTTGGCGCAGTCGCC